AAATGGGGAAAAGTCGTCGTCGTCCATCTTTGGTGGCTTAAACATGTCATCACTGTCGTCTTCAGCTGCTGTTACAACGCACACAAAGTATTGAGCAGCATGCTGGGAAAAATGGGCATACTGTGGAGATAACTAATGCAAGGTTAAACAAATGTTTGAATTGGACTGATGATGAATGAAAGTCCTACCCTGTGACTTTGAAGGCTTTGGTTCTTTTCTGCTTTTACTTTTCTTCTTAGATGTCAATGCTTCCAAGACATGACATGGTAAAAAGAAAATATCCATAAGCATGCACATGCAATGATGGCACTCATCCCTGAAATGCTTTCAATGTGAATCTCAAATGTAAACATCGGAGCTTTGACTTTTACTGAAATTAAATATGAGTGTGAGGAACAAAAAGAATTCAAAGTGAGATTATATGAAACAGTATGAGTTGTTTGATAATGACAGGAACTTACATGCGCGGTCTCCCTCCGGTTTGTTAACTGGTTCACCTTTGATTCGGGCTGCCAGCTCATCAGCAAAGGACGACGGGCCTGTGTTCTGAATGTGACATAAAAATAATCAGAGCAGATTTTTCCCTGAGGCAGCAATAATGTTTTCTCACAGAAATTACAAATAAGCCACTAAGAAAGATATCTCTAAACTACAAGCAAAGTTACAACAGGCATACCTTTGTGTCATCATCATCATCCTTGTCTGATTCTCCAAATATGTCAGAATCCTCATCCTCCTCCTCATCATCGTCATCCTCATCATCATAACTCAACATGGATGACTTCTAGGGAGTGTGGAAAGAGAATTCAAAATTGTGAATTTGTTCAATTTAAATTACATGCTGGGCAAACAGACATCCAGCTTACCGTCTTGATATTATTGTGACCTTCATCCTCCTCCTGATTAAAATCTTCATCAGAATGCTGTTAAATGAATAGGTAAATAAATACAATACGTTTTTTTTCCTGTGTANTTGTTCAATTTAAATTACATGCTGGGCAAACAGACATCCAGCTTACCGTCTTGATATTATTGTGACCTTCATCCTCCTCCTGATTAAAATCTTCATCAGAATGCTGTTAAATGAATAGGTAAATAAATACAATACGTTTTTTTTCCTGTGTAAAAAAAAAAAAAAAAAAAAACATTGGGAAATGCAGTGAAAGAATGTGAAAAATTGTCTTACAACTGCTTCTTTGCCATCTTCACTCTCAATCACACTGTCTCTGTCACTGTCAACTGACATTTCTGGAAAGAGAATCACACATAATTAGAGAAATAAACACCACATTGTGTGAATGCTAATGTGCGATGTACAGTGCCTAAAGAGGCTGCAGTCAGTATACTACCATCACTTGAGAGGTCACCAAGTCCAACATCATCTTGTTCCATGAAGGCCTGGGAACCAATTAGATATGGAAGTGGCCTGTCCACATAAAGATCCTAAAAGACAAGGCAAAAACGGACATTAATGTAAAAATGCATGATCACATGCATTTCTGCAATGATTTCAGTACTCATCTATGCTGTTTCAAGCTCAATTGCATACCTTGGGCTCTAGGATGGCCTCCACTCTATCAGTGACCTCCTCGTCCTCTGAGTCAGAGTTTCCTGCTTTGATGTCCAGATGCTCAAAGGCTGACTCCAGTACTCTCAGACCATAATTCACAGCTTCCTGCATCTTCGGGATTAACTCTGCCTCTTTCTGCTCTCGAGTCTTCTCCTTAAGAAAAAACATAAATAAAATGTCACAGGGCAATGCAAGTGTCGTGGGTTCTGTGGCTAGATTATCCTGGAAGTAATAGTACTGAAATGCATCATTCAGTGTTATACTGGTCAGTGTCTGTGTTTTTTATGCCAGCAAATGTTAAGAGCAGGGAGAATGAATTCTATTTACCTGCTCAGGCTGCTTCTCCAAAGCATCAACCTTCATTATAGTTTCTTCTACCTCTTCGTCATACACTCTCTGCAACAGCACACAAACAAGAAGATATTTTTATCACCAGAGAAGCAACAAAAATTCCACACAAGATGTCCTTTAGTTTCTAAGTGAATTGTCAAAGTTACTGTGTAACAAATAAAACCAAAGTACAATTAAATATTTGAATTATATACATTACATTTTCTATAAACTGTGTATTGGAGAGCATGAGAAAGTCATTGAAGACAGAATGCAAGCAGCTGTCTGTGGCCTTGGTGTCACGGATCAGACTGTCCAACTGCTTTTCAATCTCATGTGTCTTTGAGAGCATTCTCTGGGAGAAGTCTTGGAGGAACAGGAAGAGCTGTGAACACAAAAAAACATTTTGGAGGTTGCAGCGTTACTTACACTGCACTAAAGTAGAAGACATTTCATAATCCCATCAACTACTCTGATTTGTAAAGCATTTCTGCAGCATTTCTCTAATCACTGCTGTTTTCTTGGCCTATATCAAAGACGGGAAAGACGTTTCTGACTTACCCCTGAGTCAGCTGCCAAAGACCAATTGGCACTGCTCTGTCGCATTTCTTCAAGAGTCCAGGGTCTCTCCCAAATCTGAGCATCTTTCTCTAAGTCTTCATTCCGGCTTGGGCCATTTGCCATTCCCTCCGGCAACCCACTCATCTGAGATCAGATCACTTGTTGTTATTGATGGCATTAATAATTCAGAAGGGCTTTTAAGCACCTGATATTAACATATCATAAATGGAAAATCCTAAAAAATATATTCTTGTGTAAGAATGTAGCCCACATATCTTTTTTACTTTGTATATTTGTACCAGTTTTGGCCTTAGGTAAACAGTTGAGAGACTGTTTGAATGTAAAAGCCTGTTAGAGAACAATTAGGTAACTTTATAAGGTCACACCGAGCTCTCTTCTGCAATTTTGTATTGTTATTGCCAAAGTCCAAACCATAAACTGTAGTAATAATATCTCCTATAAACAAGTCATGGAGATCCTCCAGACACTGAAGTTAGTCTGTGAAAGGACTGTGGCGTTCCTCCACAGAATCAGGGACATCATGAAGGCCAAATAAATGATACAGAATGCCTCCCACCAAGGAACAACCAGTAAGTAACTCAAAGGCAAAATAAACCAGGCAGATCATTCAACCATCATCATCATCATTCAGCGACAATAAACCGACTGATGACACAATAAATTAAAATTTGATCCTTTGATTTCCTACTCAAGGGGAAACTGTCTGTGTGTAGAAAGTGACTTTTAGGTTTAGGTTTCCAGAGCCACTGAAATATCACAAATAAAATAAATTTTAACTTGTTAACGTAACGTTATCTTCCCTTTAACTAATGTAGTTTTAGTGCTATAGTTGGGATACAGCAAGCTAGCTTTGTAGTGGTAGTAACATTGGAAATCTGTGCAAGACAACTTGTTGTGTCCTCATAAAGTTGCCTAAATGTCATTTCCTTCTTCTAGCTTTCACATTCAAATTGACTTGCTTCTGCAAGAGAAAGCGGAGACTGTTTGGCTAGCAGCTAGCTCAACTTAGCTAGCCAACATTAACGTTAGCTTCAGCTGTTACAACTAACAGAGTAATATATCCACCCAAATTTAAGCGTTCTCGTGCTTACCTTGAATACTTCAGATCAACTGCTGTCCACGGCGGTCAAATGTGGTCAGAAACGACGTAAAAAATAAGATCGATTATGCTAAATTTGGCCTTTCCCTCATTGGTCTTCTGACAGGTCAGCCATGTTCTGTCTGCAGACAGTCACCTGACTACTGTTGCCTGGCAACCCAGGGAAAGTGGGGCGGAGTGGAACAAACTAACAACCAAGGCAAAGAGATGAAGCTAACAGCTTACTAGGTCATCCTGAAAACAACCCGTTACTGCCGACTGGGTAAACAATAAAGTTGAGTTTATCACTTATTATTTTCACACATTCTTATCTGGGCGTAACGAGGATACATTTTATTTATATTGATCCATTTAAAATCAGACATTTTAACATTTGAGTTATTCAAGTGCAGTACAAGCCTCTGGGCACATAAGGCTCCTAGTCTGTTTGCTGCCTCACACAACTGTTTGCAGTCTTGCATCTCTGTGGACACCTTGAACCTCTGAAATTGTTCTGTATCTTTATAATAATCTTGTCCTTTGTGGGGTTTTTTTTCTTTGTGGTCATTTTACATCTCTTGTCACCGATTTGCTTCTCTTTCTAGTCATTTTGTATCTTTGTGGTTGTTTTTTTTTGTGTCGTTGTTTTGTGTCTCTTTGCAGTCATTTCGTGTCTTTCTGTGGTCCTATACAACTCCTGTTGTCATTTTGCACTTCTTTGTTGTTATTTGATTGACTTTCCAACAAGAAATACTAACAATTACTTCAAACAGAGGCTAGATCTTGCTAGATCCATTCAGTAACCCATCCATTACTGTTGGTTCTCATTAGTTTGTCTCTGCATTCACCTCCTGTTTGCACCATAAGATGCTGAACATTGCGATATAAGCCTCAGCCAAGGACTGCAAAATGAACTGACACACATACCTGATATTAAGCTTTGATTTTACCCATGACTAAAATTTTATACAAAATATTTCTGTATATGATTTATCCCATAATTGGTAAACACTGCTTAAAGATAACTACCAATTTTATAGATTCTATTTGTTGGAAAAGTAGTAGTTCTTTTACCAAAGACTACATTTAATGTAAGAAAATGGTAGAATCTCAAAGGCTACATGGTGCACAAAAAAGTAATTGGGATCTCAAAGGCCATCTCTATCAATGCTTTCCCAAAGTATGACTTCATCACTTCAAACCTATCAGAACTAATTCTGTGGCATTATTTAGACATGTATTTAGCTTCATGGATTTGCCAAGTGTTGATGTTAAGACTGTTGTATTCTGAATGGAATATGTAGTATGTAATATATCTGACACTGATATGAGTAGACATTTTGCCTGAGATGTTTTATAAAGGCAACAAAGAATTCTGTTAACATGTAAATAAAGTTTATTTTCTGTTTGGCAAAAGCTATAAAAAAATATTTTTAACCATTAAAAAAATAAACAACATGCACACTCCACAAAACAGTAAAATTTTAACAACAAATCAGCAAACAAGAAAATGTGTCTGGGAATAATTGACAAAGTTAACTTAATAAGACTTTTTCACAACCAAGTATTGCATACTGAAATAAACTCTGCACAACAATTAGTTTGACTGTAACTAAAGAGAGTAATGATTCAGAACATACCCCAGACTCCGACACTAAATAATAGTTACTCTAAATTAATGGTTCTATTGCCTCTGTTTTATTTTTCTCATCCACTGGATCATTTCCTTCCGTTTCTTGTTGCTTTTCATCCAGTTTAATGTCCTGCTCTTCTGCCTCCTCTTTTTTCTCCTCCTCTTTATCAGCAACAGTCATTGTAGCCTCATTCTCTTCAGCTTCATTGTTTTCCTCCTCTTGTTCATCCACCTCCATCACAAGATTTTCTGTCATCATAGTGCCCTCTCCATCATCACTGTTATCCATATGCTCCTCTTCTTGGTTACTGATCAATGTATCCACTGATGGAGGTTGCCAATAATCATATAGCTTGCCCTAAGGGATGAGAATATAGAAAATGAGAATCATAAACTTGTTGATTTTTATTGGAAGACTTTTAATAATGGAGCCTATATCAAGTGACTACTGTCATTATCTATTAGAAGATTAAGTAAAAAAAAAAAAAAAATTATGTAAATAAAGAATTCATGAGTGTGTGTAACAACTGTACATGGAGAGGCCTGGTCCTCTGAAGCAGCATCTGCCACTTGGTGTAGATCCTGGCCACTAGATCTTTTACCTGGAGGAAGAGGAGGAAGGTAGGGGCTGTCAAATAGATGAACATACCGCACAAGAGAGCACAGGGTAATTTGAATGATTGATTGAAACAAAGTCAGCAATGACTTATTATGTCAAGTTACAAATACAATCACACAAAAATTTTCCACTACATGCTGAGCTACCTCTCTCTCAAATTGAATCGAAGGCAACTGGACTTGTATTTGTCTGTGGAAGACGTTTCGCCTCTTATCCAAGCGGCTTCATCAGATAGGATAAGAGGCGAAACGTCTTCCACAGACAAATACAAGTCCAGTTGCCTTCGATTCAATTTGAGAGAGAGATAACTATGACCTGGACGAATGAGAACATTCACAGACATGCTGAGCTACTGCATATACAGCAGAAAAGAGCTGTGCGTTGTTAGCACCATAAACATTGTGGTGCTACAGAGGCAGGCCTGCAAATCATATTCTCCAGACATAAAGGAACATGTTTGGTCCAAAAAAAAACAAAACAAAACAAAAAAATTTTCCAGTGAAAATGAAACGCAAAATGGACCATTCCAACTGAAATTGCAATTACATATCACAATCACAATATCTTACCACAATTATTGCAATATGATTTTTTTGCATATCGTGCAACCCTAATAGGTATTTTTCAGCATTTATAGTGTTTTTTGTGGACAGCGTTATTCCTGTAAGGTTTTGTCCTTTTACCAAAATACCAAGGCTCTGGTCTCCAAGAAATTGAAAAGTTTAGGCAGTACTGCTTATTCTGTAATTTGGTGGAAATTCTGCTTCAAAATTGAGAGGAAGAAGTACATATATAAGAACACTGTGCAAAATTATTAATTATGACCTGAAGTCTGGCTGTAACAGCATTAATTTAATGACACATCTATACAATAAGTACAATATAGTCTCTCAGCATGGTGTTAGTCCAGATGAGCATCAGGAAAATGACTCAAAGAGCTTTTACCTGAGAGTTAACAATGACTTTATTTGGATTTTTGTGAAAAAGGTATGAACTTTAACCGAATGACCTTATGATTGACTTTTCCTCAGCATTCAACACAATCCGTCTCAGGAGTTTCTTTCTAATTGTAATATATATTCCATAATATAATATAATATTCCAACCAATTACATATTGGTTGGAATTAAATTTTATATTGTTCCTGAGGGCACAGTCATTGTAAAAGGTCCAGTAATGTTCACCATGAAATGTCCCAATCACAAAATTTGCATCTGGATCTACATCAAAAATACACACAGATACACACAAATAACTGAAGTTCCTTTTGAAATCATACTCACCTTGCTCCGGTAAAGACATTTCTCGCTCTCTCTGATGTCACACTTGACATGCGTTTCCAGCTCATAGCACAGAGAAAGTAGTTGCTTCTGAGAGCCAGAAAAGAACAAGAGGTAAGTCAATATTAACATCCAGGCAAAAGGCTATCACCACTTACACATGTAAGACCCTTAGTTCCCCTAAAATGACCAGAAAGAATAGGAAAGAATTTAGGAAAAATCATACCTTCTGATGTGCTGGGAAGAACTGAAAATTGGAAGCTTCATTTGCCAAGGTCAGGAGACTATAGCAGAGGTAGTAGGACTGAAACATAAATAAATGGAAAGACATTTGCATCAGAAAACCCCCCTAGAAAATGTACAAATATGAAAACAAGATATATGAAAAACAAGACAAGAAAAATCTAAAATGAATTTTGGGTTGGAACATTTTGAAGCTAAAGGCATTAAGTCTGTGCTCACCTGTTGGTCTAGGATGGCCATGTCCTCTTCTTTATCTTTCTGATTCCTCAGCATGCTTCGGAGAAGGGTGGAGGGTTGCATACAGGGCAGGTATGGCCTCAGCAAGGAGAGCTAAGCATGGCACCACACATTCATTACATTGCAATAATCATTTAATGATTCTAAAAAAAGCTGTAAAGAGTACCTTCACATATTTCAAGTGCTGGCATCTAAAGGAAACTTTAAGTTTAGATTACACTGAAGCAGATTACCTGAAACTCTTTTTCTGCAGGTCTGTAAGTGCAATTTCCATCTAACAGCTTAGAGATCATGGACAGGCTCAAGTGTCGGCGCAGCTGCCTTTACAAAAAAACAAAATTAATACTTTTAATGGTAACTATTATAAAAACAAAAAAAAATCTAATCTAAAATCCAATATTGAAAAAATAATCGAGACAAGCTTAGACACCAAAGGAGAAAAATAAAAAGACTTACTTTCCACGTGTGTTGTCAGGCAGCAGTTGAACTACAAGGCACATGTTGTGGTGGTCATCTGTCAGATCAGTAAGGGCCAGACAGATTCTGGGCAGCTAAAGAGATTTTAAAATAAACTCACAAGAGGCAACAGGACTATAATAATAATGTAGATTTTAAATCATAAATGACATTGGGATTTAAAGGCCAAATAAAACAGCATATGATAATATAAACTGTGAATCTGTCTGAAATTTCTGCAGGTCAAAGATTCAGAGGTATATATGCACTGACCATAGTGTCCCAGTCCCTGATGTTGTTGACAATCTTATACTGTAGCGGATACAGTTCCACACTGGACTCGAGGATGAGCCGTGTGTCCAGGGCCACCCTTCCCACCACAGCTAACAGCAACAGCAGCTCGTCGTCACTGTACGCCCGTGGACACAGACCCATACAGTAAGACAGGTACTAAACACGAGAGAAAAAAAAAAAAAGAGAAAAAGTAGTGAATGATCTGAAAGGTGAACACACATGAGGGCTAACTGTTCGTAGCAGACATCTGTTTCCTATTACATCCCACCTTCAAGATGTTGTTGCAGTTGTGTTCAGGGAATGCGCTCTGTTCCTTGTTATTTGAGGGACTATCACTTTTGATATATATGTCCTCCCTACACAAACACAGAAATTCAGCTTCATGGAATTAAACTCAAATAATCTCAAATTTTTTTTATTTTTTTATTTTTTAAAAAGGGAGCAAAATGTGATCCTTCACACAAGAATGCTACTTACAACAAATCTCCTTCTGTGAACGGAGGCTGCAGATTCTCAAAAGGGAAGAGAGTAACAAACGCAACTCCCATATTCATCAGGACCAGTGTCACATCAGCCAAACTGGGAACCCAAACTTTAAACTGCTGGCTTCCATTTTTCACTGAGGAAGTATGCACACAGAAAAAAAATTGTTAATATGTCTGAACAACGAGTGAGGAAATATCAAAAGCTTGAGGATGAGGAGAACACTGACCTATCTGATAAGCAGCAGTGCAGGCGATGTCACAGAGGGCCTGTAGTATCTTTTCGGATACCATCCTCTCACTATGGACTGACATCATCTGACAAGATCAACAAAGAATAACTGCCAATGTTCAGACATTTGGACAAAAATAACCACTAACATGCTACAGGTGTGTGTGGGGCCTACCTTGAAAAGGAAACGGGTAACCTGAGTTGGACAGGGTGAGCGACAGTCGTAAGCTTCCTGGAACAATCCAATATTTACATGTAATCTCAGTTGAGCAGGACTGGACCTGATAGAGAAAAGGGGAGTGAAAGTGGAGAGAGAAATATTAGAGGAATTAATTATTCAGAAAAGCTGACAGTCTAAAGCTTTGCTAATGGCCAGTAGAAGCTGATATGTTAAAAGAAAATACCACAGTACAAAGTGCTGGATGGAGCAAGCAACATAATAATGATTTCTCTTTACTGTGTGGAGGCTAAGAACGTAGTTTGTGATGAAAGTAGCCGATTAGTTTTCAGGACAACTTCATCAGGACAACAATGTTGGTCAATGGTAAATTTTTAGCTGATGCTCAAAAAGGTCAGAATCAAAATGATTGGGAAATTTTTTTTTTTTAAATGATTCTGCATATCAAACTTAAGTCTTTTTGTCAAGATATGTTGCTATAAACTTTCACATGTAGGCCTACACATAGAGCACAGCTCACCAAAGAAGTGTTTTCTGTGCTGTCCCCTGTGGGTTGACCATGCATTGTCTGAGCTGCAGTGTATCCTGGTTGAAGATCTGGCCACATTTCTCCAAGTTGAACACGACTTCTCCTGGAGGCACTTCCCTGATTGCATTGGACATCAGTGAGTAGCGCTGCAGGAATTCCCTTAGAAACAAATTACAACAATATAGTCATGTGTGATATGACAATATATATTGCATTTGCACAACATTTTGTGTTCTTCCACACAGCATGGAGGCAAATACGGACAGGAAATTTGCATGAAGGCAACACAAACAAACATGGAGAGTAAACGTGGCATAGAGTTCGTAATTCTGAACAGGAGAAGGAGTCCGACCACCCAAGATAGAACAAGGAGGTCATACCTAAAAGACAGGCTACTTCTGTCACATGGATGTAATTTAGTTATAAAAAGACTGATCAGAAAACTGTACTTTGCAAATTATTCCACAACAACTCCCTCAAATTCTGTGACCTATGCAAGAATCATGTCAAACTCAAGGTTTCAAACCCTTCTTCGACATTAGATTCCAGGACTTTTCAAGGACTTTCCAGGACCAAATCACTCAAATACAAGCAGCATAGTGTGAGACACGGATCAAAGTTAATTACGGTTACACTAAAAAATTTTAAAGTGAGATCTAGCAGGCTTTACAGTTGCTCACACAAAAATTAAAAGAGAAAGAGGCTTGAATGTGCATATGCAGACAGTGGCACATAGCCTAATTACTAATGTTAAGCCAATAATAATAATATTAATATTAATAATACATTTCTATATTTGCAAAGAATATCTAAATTCAAGCACTTTTAAAGCCCCATGTTTATTTATATCTATTTTAAAAAAACTTTCAAGGCCTTGGTCCCCCCGCCCCCCTCAAATTCAAAAAATTTCAAGGATATCAAGGACTTGTGGGAAATCTGCAAACAGTGTGAAGAGAGTCTAAGGAAGAGAGACACAAAAGTACAGTTGATTGCTCAAACTAAACCCCAGACTCAGACGTTGCAAGAGGCTTTTGCCTGTAGCACACCACATGGCAAAGAATCACAAAGTTGGAAGGAGATGACGGCTACTGTTGCAACATACACAGTAGAGAAACAGTATGAGTAACGAGTATTGATTTGAGCTTTTGGTCATATCGCATAGCCCTACAATCAAACATAAAAATGCAGATTACTGTTAACTACTGTGCATGGCCTGTGTCCCACTGACAAGGTATAATGTGTCAATGTGCAGTTCTGCAAGTCTTACTGTTGTTCAGTGGAGATGCCCTCCTCCTGGTTCTCCTCAGCCTCCTCATATTCAGCTATCCTTAACAGGTCCTCTTTACATGCCGTTAGAAGCTGTGTCTCAATCTCTTTAGCTCTATAGATATAAAGAATGTGGAAAAAGTTAACTCCTCTAATATTCACCTACTGTGGCTCAAATTAAAAAAGTAATTACTGGGAGTGAAAATTTCTGAATAATATACTTTTTATTGGTGTTTATTTCCTTCAGCATCTGATCAAGGTTGTTCTTATAAAGGCCTGGCTTTGTGGTGGGTGGCAATGGCTGCTGTGGGAAATAACAGATGAAATATAAGATCCAAACAGAAACACAGTTGAGTTTTACATGTCCTTTAGCTCAGCGAGTTGATTATCAGACATTCATAACTTTATGTAGAATAAAGACAAGCCCTTTAGAGCTTACAGTTTTTAACTGGCTGCTGCAATGTCCAGGTGTACTAGGCTCTGAGAAGGCTCCTTTCTCCGGTGTATCTGGAGGCTTAGTAACATGCTCCATCATCTCCTGCAAGGAAAGCAGCTGCTCCTCCTCACTGCTATGTGAGCTCTGGGTTAGATCAAAATCTAATGCAAAGCTCAGGCCAAGATCAAGTTCCACATCTATGGGATCCTCTTCATTCACCTGCTTTCTACTCACTTCACTGGCCTGTCTCCCCAGTGATGGAGACTGAGAACAATGGGATGTAGAAGTTTGTTGAGAGGCAGCTGTGTTGGTCTCTAGAGTCACTTTGTTAGGAAGGCGAGATGCGTGTTTATCATCAGATTTAACACTCTCTTCCTTAAGCTGCCGACCTGAGGAAGTGATGGGACTGTTTTTGAGTTCCCTGTCTTTAGAGTAAGGGGGCTTTACATTTTCAAGGTTTACTCGCTCTAAAGTTACAGTTAGCATGGGGATTTGTGGGATACCTGTTGAGGAAGAAATTTCAGTGTCCACTGCATAAGGAGAACCAGTTACTTTGGAGTTTGGAGTTTTCTGACATGAGGATCCAGTAACTGGAGTACTGGAGCTGGACGCAGTGCTAGGTGAACAACTTTTCTCTGAGGTGGACGATTTAATCGTTCCCCCATCTGTCTTTGACTTTGTAGTCTTATGAGCAGGACTGACTACATAAGTCATGGGATCAGGGGTGAAGAGCTCATCTGTATCATCAGGGATTACTACAGGTCTTCTTGGGCGGGCAGTTTTACTCCGTTCGGCCTTACGACAGCTCAGAGGACCTGAATTTGGTTTTAAGGCTGATTTGGGAGTGCTGCTGTCCGTCTTTCTGCTCTCCTCCACCTGATTACCTCTGCTCAGGGTCTTGGCTGGTAAGACAGAGGTACTAGGGTGAGTATGACCACAGTGGTGGCTGCCCAGCTGACCATGAGGTAAGCTACTAGTGTCCCTCTGGGGAACATCAGTGGATAAAGTGCTTGATTTACTCCTTTTATCATTGTCCTCACTTATTTTCTTCACACTTTCTTCAACAGTCTTTGAAGGTGATTTGAACTCTTTTATCTTCACAATATGATTATGAGTGGAATTAATATATGCCTGCTTTGCCCCCACTGATGGTCGTCTCTTTATGCAAGGTTTTGGTGACAGTGATGCACAGGATGACTGGGCAGGTTTAAATGTGGACGACAGTTCCAAGCACGTTGACTGGCCACATGCCGGCTCCAAGCACAGATGGCTATCAGTGGTTTCAGGTGGCAGTTCCAAGACTGAAGGCTGGCTTGATGACGACACTAGTGAAGTGCTGACTGAGCTGCAAACAGTGGGTTTTGGTGTCTGTGCTTTGCCAGAGTTTGTACCCTGAAGACACATTTTCTTGGCATTGTCATCAGAGACCTCAAACTCCCTGCACCTCTTCTGTGATGAGCAATTCAAGTCCACTGTTGATGACAGAAAAAGGCATAAATAATACATTTCCTTTTATCATCATTTCAGTCATTAAAGAAAACAAATATTTGATGGTTGTAGAACTCCATATCAAAGAATTTGCTGCTTTTTTGTATGTAATGTTTTAGTAAATTGATGCTCTTTGGCCTTTAGACTGTTGGTCAGACAAAACAACATATTTGATGACATCTTAGGATGTAGAAAACTGTGATAGACAAATTTCACTATTCCATAATGTTTTACAAATCAAACATTTATGTAATAATCAGCAGATAACTCAATGAAAATAACCATTAGCTGCAGACCTGATATGTGCCAATTCAAGATTTCAAAATTAAAAATAAAAGATGGATACAACTGCAGAGCCAACAAGATGACAGACTGCAGCTTTTTGAGTAAGAAGTGGATAAGTAGAAAAATTAGTAGGTCAGAATCTGCATGCGACCCACACAACAAAAAAAAAAGAAATAATAAAACTATTTTGTAGGAGACAATGTGTACTGACCTACAGGCATCATATTTGAATTTATGATTCAAATAACTAGAGAAGGGAAAAGAGCAAAAAGTCTGTGCATAAATTGAGTAGATGACAGTACTTTGACAGTATTACCTGGAATTGACTTTTCACTTGAAGGTGTCTGTTTAAGTTGCTGGTCCTAAAAAAGAAAGCAAAGTGACTCCTTAAGAAGCAGCTTTCCTTTAGTGAATTTTCAAGAGCAACGCAAGCATTGCTATGTATCCCATATAACTGAAGACAGAGCTACACGTGGATCACTTGCTAAATTAAAAAACAACTAGCTGTTCCTGTTCACACCAGTATGTTTACAAGTGACCAGTTAAATAAATATCAATTGACTCATGTAACACCTAAAGAACAAATGCTCTTTAACTTATCCAAGACTGACCAACCAACCAGCTGTAGCCTGTTCCAGACCTCTAAATGACTGCTAACATGTCCAATAGGTCTGGTATTGTGTTTACTGACTGCTGTGTCCCTAGCTTGAAAAACAACCAAGTCAATAAGAGCTTTCTAAGCAGGATTAAAAATGGGACATCATCTTCTTGTGACAGACAAAGAAAAGTGGCAACAAACATTGATGAGATCAACAGATACGCATGTTGTTGTAAGCCTACTTACAAAAAGGTAAAAGACTTAAACTGTCGTATTTCTTTGATCGACATGACATACATTAAGTTACCTGCGCCAAGCAAACACTATCGCAGCTTCCGTGTTTATTGAGGTTGGTGGAATGAATACATCCCTTCCTTATGATTGGTTAGCAACAAAATTTCCCCAAAAGAAAACAGCTAATATGACACTGATGTCCGACTGAATAAGGAGGTGAAACAAAATGTCAATCCAGTCTGTTTATAAGGCTAAATCAACTGCATCTTAGTTATAAAAACCCTATGCAAAGGCTGAGATCAAGACACCATTCTCTCCCCAAGTGAGCATTACCTCCCACCATGTGAGATGGCCCTCAACCATGAGGAGACAAACAGCTCAAAATCTTTAACTAAAACCCTAAATGAATTGATGTGTCACTTATCATATAACAAACTTTACCTGGTAAGGTGCTACAGGGTTGTGCATGTGTAAACTGGAAGCACTACTTCTGTCCGAGGACATGTTACTCAGAGAAGGCTGGTAGCCTCGTCTGGAGCAGTGGCTGTTACCAGGACTCAAGCACTCCAAGTCTGAGAGGGGCCGTGGGGAAACTTCTTGAGCTGCACTGGTGTTGAGTGATGGGGTCACAGGGGGCCTGTGCAGCTGGATGGTAGGTATGAGACTCCTCACATTGCTGGATTGAGCCTAACAGAGTACATGCCACAACAATTCAGCATCACATGACTGCTGTAGTACAGGTCATAAACAAGACACTAAACAAAACTAGGTTTCACTAATGGCCACATTAAAGAAGAGAAAACAATACCTTGTGTGATTCTTGACTTTTTGCTGTTACATCTTTACTTCCTGAATAAGACAAAGTGACCATGGGTTCCGTTACTTGATGTCCCCTTATGTGGAAGGACAGGGTGCGGTTGCTTAAATCCTTCATGAATTGTGGGGAAGCATGGTGACTGATACTGGCAGGCGAGGGCTGCAGCCTTTTCACTGAAGTATCAATGTAAGATTGGCTTCCTGGGACAAGTTGTGATGAGCAGAAAGAGTCTGAGTGTTGAGCAGAGTGCTGTGAGGGACCCAGTCTGTCCCTTGGTGTGTGATGAGGCCTATGTGTTGGGATTCCAACATTAGTTGGGCTGCCTACATTAAACTCTATCGAACGGACTGGTCCCATGGCATGAGGAGGTTGCCGTGGTGGACCCAATCTGTCCCTGTGGCACAGCTCAGGGCTTTGAAGTGGCAACACTCTCCTTGGTGGTGGGAGAGAAAGCCGGTTAGGGACTTGAGAGGGCTTCATTGGAGTCTCCTGATTAAAAGATGAGAAATGAGGTAGCGAGCGCTCCTGGAGTGCGAGGTCCTTCACTAAAACACAGAGGAAACAAGACAAAACATGCCATTGAGTGCTCATGTGTGAATAGGGATGAACATGTTGTCACTTCAGGGTCCATGATGCCTATAGCTGTGGCTCATCCATCAGTCATTTTGACAAAGTCCTGAATTTTCTTAATCCTACACATAGGAAAGTTTCATGCATTTAATCTTTTATACTTAATTACGGTGACCCTGAGGTTCAAAACACAACATTTCACAAAACACAACAACATTTCAGATTACAGAACTACTGGGTCAACACTTATTGTTTGTGATTGGACAGAAATCAATTCCAAATTTATTCAATGGATGTGTTAATGTGGGTTGGTGCAACATTAGATCAGTCCTAATTCTTCCAAGCCTGCTTTCAGGATTCCATGGGACATTTTAATGTCAAATGTCAAAAGCATAGTCTTCTTAAAGCTGGCCGCCCAGCTAAACTGAGTAATCAGGGGAGAAGGGCCTTAGTAAGAAACATGACCAAGAACCTGACGGTCAGTCTGGCTGAGCTCCAGGGATCCTGTGTGGAGATAGGAGAAACTTCCAGAAGGACAACCATCACTGCAGCACTCCACCGATCTGGGCTTTATTCAATTCAAAGCATGTTTGGAGGAAACCAGACATGACACGTAGAACTGGTTGGCACCTGAGCTAAATTTCAAGTGTCACAGCAAAGGGTCTGAATACTTATGTCAATATGATATTTCAGTTTTTCCTTTTTAACAAATTTGCTAAAAATTCTAAAATTCTGTTTTCACTTTTTTGTTATGGGGTATTGAGCTTAGGTTTATGAGGGGAAAATGTAATGTTTTGACTTTAGCTTAAAGCTCCAACATAACAAAATGTGAATAAATGGAAAGGGTCTGAACACATTCCAAATATCAAGAATTACATCATATGGTAAATACTGTGCACTTACAGAGCCCTTTTCTAGTCATATCGACTACTCAAAGTGCTTTACAGTGCTTGCCAAATTCACCCACACATACATATACATACACTGATGGAACAGCCACCAGGGGCAATCTGGGGTTTAGTATCTTGCCCAAGGATTCCCATTGCACCTCAAGTGCATATGAATGTCGTTAATTAAAGTATTCCATTTGGATTTCAATCTCCTGTTCCATCCTTTGAAACTCAGTTTAAAATTTGTCAAAGGACATTGCTAAGAGTACACAATAGAAACAGGAAACCACATCGAACTGTTGCCAGGGACTTGGATACTGTCCAATCACATAAAATAATTGTTGTCCCACCTTTACCATAATCTGAAATGTTGGTGTTTTGTGAAATGTCATTGTGTTTCCTGAAATGCTGTGTTTTGCACCTCAAGACCACCGTACTTAATGGATAGACTAATCAGTGAACTTACCTCCATAAAGACATTGAGACAAAAACTGATACAGGGCCAATCCAAATACTAATCCTGATAGCATATAATGAACTCAACTATACTGTGACTAAACATGTCCACTTGCTACAAATGCAGGTAAAAAAAAGAAGAAAAAAGTCATTACTTATTTGCAAAATTTTAACATGTAAATACACAATTCTAATATTTGGTCTACACGAATCTGCATAAATGGCATGGATGAAATATAAGGAACACCTCCCATAATCCAGTTCAATTCAACAGCACCACAAAAACTGAACATTACAACATTCATGAAAGTAGGTTTTATAGCAAGGTTCTTGTATTTCAGGTGCATCCAGTAAAAAACAACTTGCTATGCTTAAAAACTGACAGTGTTGCTCCCTCCCTTGCTAGCTACAGAATGAGGTAAAGTGAACAGCACATCGTGATGTAAAGTTAACTAAATACACTGTAAATTCCGAGACATTAACACATGACAACGCAGGACCCACCTTTACTCCTTGGGGAGAAATATTCTCCAAGTGTCCTGCAAGAAGGCCAGAGAGGGGCAACTGATGTTAAATGTGTCTCCAAAACAACAATAATGCAATTCAAATTCAGAATTGGAACTTAGTTACATTAAAGAACCAAAGTGTCGCAGAGGCGTCAAACATAGCGAGGTAATAATAATGATAATGCCTTGGATTTATATAGCGCTTTTCAAGACCGGCAAAAAGCAGACACCTGCCTGTCACTCTCTGTTTGCAACCAGTCACAGCATGCAACGTTAACAACAGCACGAGTCCAGCAACAGCAAATGTTATGAAGCTTCGGGCGGTTATCTTTAACATATTGTTCAGCTGTGTCACTTGAAAATCTCAATCAAAAACTAACGTTGCATTAACAAAAGTAACAACGATATTAGAACTTATTAGCAATGCTTATTCTAGCAAAAAGAAAAATAGCTAAGTAATGCTAGCCAGGAAACTTACATTTTTTTAACATCATGGCAGTGTTATTAATTCTTTAACTTCATGTTGCTAGGCTCGCTTTCAAAACAAACATTGACAGCACTGCTCAAATCTTGAAGAAAAATTATAAGAGCGTTAGTCACAGTGCCTGGCTAATTTAGAATAAAATGTAATATTAGCAAGTCGTTGTTTCAGGAAGTGCCCTTTTAGCTAGCCGGCTAACGCGCTTTCAACTTAGCAATGGAGAGCAAACATAGTCCGTAGGTTTTCTTACCGAGTCTTCCCTTGATTTTCTTGTACCTTTCTCATTTTGAGGATTGAACAGGCTGTCCATAACCAGAGACAGCAACGACAACTGACTGTGTATGCGCTCCAATGTTAAAATCCTGTCAAGAATAACCCCTTCTCCCGCCTGCAATCGCACCGACCAACGTTTCACGCATTGCATTATGGAACTTGAAGTCCAGCTGTATGTCACTTTAAAGCGATATTCCATATATTTCACCGATTATGCCTCTTTTCATTGAAAATAAGTAGACAAACCATAGGGTTAAACTTGATCATTTGTATATTTGATCAAATAAATAATATATTTGTAGAAAAAAGAACACACAAGTAATTAATATAAGAATAAATAAGTGAAAATTATTAAAGATATTTCCCATATTTAACAAACTAATTTTAGATTTTGTTCTCTTGTTAGTCCAAGAAGGGTAGTAAGCATTTCTTTAAAAATCTAATATCTCACAATTGCAATACTACTTTAATCATACTGTTGATAACTACGCCTAACCATTAATACTATTTAGACTAAAAATGGTTAATGAAAAACTTGCCTAAATTTGGTCAGTAAGTAAATATGACTTAACTCAAGTTAATGGTTTAACCAAAAGCTAGATTTGATATTAGTATGTAACTCTAATCACCAGAAAAAAGATATTTATGCATGATAACTATACAGTAGAGAATAAAAGAAAAATGAAGACAAGGCAAGTCAAGCAGGCACACAAGCATTAGATATGGCTACAAGTGCACATTTATTACATTTCAGTTTTCAGGGTACATTTAGCCAACAGAGGAATTTACATTTATTAAAGAAAATGGAAATACTTTAAGACATAATTGGATATTTCATTCACAGACTGCTTGCCTAAAACCACCACTGCTGCCTCACAATGCTGTGAGGCCAGATGTAGGCATTTACTGTAGGAATAGGAGCTGGAGGCACATAAATACTAGGACACCAAGAGGCAAAGACAGACCAAAGATGGTCAAAGAGAGTAACAAATTTAGATGATTTATCTTCGGTTAATTATACTTCACAGTGATATTGTGAACCTGGCAGAGTATAATCCAAATAATGGATTTATCTCTTATGCAGTGCAATACTGAAAGCAAAGTAGGATTTGGCACCATTTCAATTGGAGAAATGTGGTGAAAAATACACATTGTCAGACACAACACAGACAGCGACAACACACAAGGACACTGCAAATATACCATTCACAGGCAAAGACAAGGACTGTTTAGCAGCCCTGACTGTCCCATCCTGCTCTCAAGAGACTGTAAAAACACATCCCTTTTTCAATGGAATGCATCAATTAAATGAAGTGAGATAAAAAATAAGTTGTGCACCTTTTGCAGTGGTCCCTTTTATGTTAACAGGTTTAAATTAAATTATAATAGACAGCAATATCCCTTAGTGAACTGAAAAATAATAATGGTGTCCAGTGCATTTGAAAAACAGTATCTCATATACTGTGAATTTGTATTCAAGTGAATGGGAAAGTGGTCTCAGACTGGGCAATCAGGGCAATATTAAAAGTTATAATGTTAATTGACAATTTTAGCAAAAATTATTTACAATCTCTTGAGAACTATGACTCTTCGGGCCCTAACCATTCTCCATCTACTATCTCTGCACTGTACAAGTAGAGTGAGGTTGCCTTTGACAACAATCTACAGTACACTCTTCCAAAATAAATTAGGATTTAGGAAAAAACACTAATCTGAGGCCAGTTGTCTGGTACAATCTATACCATCATACACAGAGAGGGCTTTACTATCACTTTACTTCTTGGCCTTTCCCTGAGCAGCCACAGCCTCCATGGCTTTGCGTACAGTCTCCTCATCTCCCAGGAACTGCATTGGCTTTACAGGTTTCAGGTTTTTGTCGAGCTCGTAGAGGATGGGGATGCCTGTTGGCAGGTTCAGTTCCATGATGGCCTCATCTGACATTCCTGCAGGTGGAACATACAAACAGAACAGTTATATGATAGTAAGTGAATTTGCACGTTGCTGTGTTCAATAGACATGATATCACTAGATCACCACAACTGTTTGTGGCATTCCTAATTTTTTACCATGATTCTTGAAAATGTAGCATCATTGTGACAGAGTTTAATTAAATGAAAAATTGTATCTTAGCAAATTATTTGACTTTCCCTAATGTCAGACAATTGTTAAAACTGAAGAACAAAAATTGTGACAAAGCAAATAGACCAAGCAAAAATAAATGCATGTCTGTATAATCTTAAAGTCTGACAGTGTCACAATACAAAATATCCACAACTAAAAAACAAAATGATAAATTAAAGTACCATTCCTTAGATTATCTTATGACAAATTACTTCACACTAGTCTTTACACCAGTTAATTCTCAATTAGCAAGTTATGTAGGCCTACAATTCCTACCATTATTAAAAACATTAAAATACTGAAGTAAAAGACTTGCATTGGGAGTTAAAATGAGCTATAAAAGGACCATCCCTGTGGCTTAGTAGTTAGACCATTGACCATGAACCACAATGTCTCCAGCTGGGGACCTTTGCTGCATCTCCCTCATTCTCTATCATCTCTCTCTAATATCACTCTTTAATTAAGGTATAAGAATGCCCAAAACAAACTGAACACGTCTAGAAAAAGCAGCCCTCCATCACCTGCTGAGCAAGTGATGGGAATGATTGCCTAAAGGACACTAATCACAGTGCCACCCACCCTCCAGGTGCTTAACTATCCCCCTCAGGCTGTTTCCATGGGCAGCGATGAGCACCCTCTTCCCCCGTTTGATCTGAGGGGCGATCTCGTCGTTCCAGAAGGGCAGCGCTCGTGCAATGGTGTCCTTAAGGCTCTCACAGGAAGGAAGCTGCTCTTCAGTCAGGTCTGCATAACGACGATCCTGAAGGGAAGACAATCATCATGTAAACAGACCAGAATAAAAAAAAACAGGTGAGAATTGCTTGATCTCTTCAATCTTCTTCAGAAAGTTATTGTACACTTGTTTGTGAACAGAGAGGCCCTGCTGCAAGCTAGCAGTTTCTGTCATGTTAGAGTGATTCTGAATATAAATAAATGCTCCAATGTGAGGTGTATTTGAGTGAAGAGTAAAGCTGTCTATGGGACAGCTACTTTTGTGTGATTCTTATGATAATACTATCAACTTGTTGGTGATCACTTATTGCCTTAGTTTTGATAGCCACTGCAGACCAGTACAGGGTTATTACACCTTACGTCTGACTGTCAGTGCAGACAGACATGATCAGTTTGTTTCTCCCTTGACTGAACTTTGAACTTGAACCTTCCAGAACTCATTCTTTCCAGTCATACATTAACTCACCTTGGACATACTATTAGGTAATAGCATTAGCAAATAGTAAGGGACTACATCTCTAATATATCTATCAGATTTCATTTGCACTGTTGTATGTTTAAGACATTTGGATATTCAAGCTAACCGTGCTGCAGATAAAACAACAGAGACACATGACCTTAAATCCACTGTTTCCACTCCAGTCATTTCTGCTGATTTCATTCATTCGTGGAGACACGGTTTACTGCCTGACTGCAGAGATCTGTTATAGTCATGCCTCCTCTTTGTTATTCCTGTGTGGACTTAGTTGATCAGGATAGTCAAACCATTTCTTTCCCCACAGGCTAACAAAGCTCCTTGGTTTCGTGAATGCACTGTTGATATCATATCTTACCTTGCTGATGATAGTGTAGAAGTCATGGTCTGGGCCCATGGGGGGAGGAGGAATATCAAACGAACGCCTCCAGATCTTCACCTGAGCCTCTCCATGCTTGGCGGCAGTCTCTGCCTTGTTCAGCCCAGTTAGGCCTCCGTAGTGGCGCTCATTGAGCCGCCAGGTCCGATGCACTGGCACCCACATCTGGTCAATGCCGTCCAGGACCAGCCACAGTGTCCTGATGGCCCGCTTCAGCACGGAGGTGTAGCAAATGTCAAACTCAAAACCGGCATCTGATAGAGTGAGAGACACAGGAGTTAAATACATTTTGACTGCAACTGTGAAAAGATAATTCCACTTGAATACTGTGACTGTTTCTTTCAGCCTTGTTTAGTTAGTAAATTCCCCCACACTGCCCTGATGGAACAAGGCTGCACTTGTTGCATCAAAAATAATTTGTAAATGATACCATGAAGAGGGTGAGGAAAAAAGCAACTGAGTCTCAAGCTTTTCTGGAAATACGAGTTACATTTAGCACTGCAGCTAACAACTGTTTTCATTATCAATTAATCAGATTATTTTCTCAATTAATCAATTCATTGTTTAGTCTATGGAATGTAACATAAAAAAATAGTGCATTTACAACTGATTATCAAAATAGTTGCTCAATTTTATTTCAATCCACTCACTGCTGAATGAACTAATGCTTTCAGCTCTAGCTACACTGCAGCCTGGTTTATGGAAGCTACTAGAGGGCCCACGCTCTGTTTATTTCTCTTCTGTGATTCCTCCCCGTACTCCTGCTAAATAAGAACAAGCCAGATGCGTGATGGACATTAAACATAATGGACCCAAAAAATGCAAGTTGCTTTGCTCGAGGGACACACAGATACACTTTCTATGAGAAGTCTCCCTGCGCGCAGGCTACTGTCGCGAGTGACAGGTTCAACAGAGAAACCACATGAAGCAATCACTTCTGCACGTTTGCAAGTCCTCGTATTCACATATTGCCGACGCGCTCGGGGGGCGGTCTGTGGTCTGATGCAGAGGCGATTACGTAATCGTAGCCGTGCATTGGCCTCTACAGCACGTTGGAGATATTACAGTGGATGGTGAGAGAAAACAAGTCGACTGCTCACCTTTCAGGGCCAGTCCACCTCGCTTCGCCTCCTTTTCCCCGGTTTCGCTCAAATCAGCGTCAAACCAGCCGCAGAAGCGATTCTCCTGGTTCCAGTTGCTCTCTCCGTGGCGAATCAGCACTAATTTGTAGGCAGCCATGGTGTGTGATAATATATCGCTTATATGAACGAACTGAACAGTTTTTTAAAGATGGATGCTGGTGAGGTTCAATTGACAACTTCCCCAACCAGAGAAGCAGACAGGTCCACTCGTTACTGTCAAACCGGTGAGGACTTTTATAACGTGGATTGGTTACTCCCACAGTTCCTGGTTTTTACATCCAATGAGATTCCGCTAAAGTACGTCATTTTTTTCAATCCCTCCACCAATGAGAGCGGTGGGCGTGAGCGACAGAGACTGTTCTTGACCTTCATTGTATTCATTGTACGTTATTGACTTTCATTGTGTCTATCTATCTATGTTCACGTGATATAAGAATGCAATTGACAAACTAGACATATAAACATCAAAGTAACTACTTAATTACTTCTTATTACTTACAACAAATTGTTACATTATCACAATGATATTTGATTTGATCATTTGCAAACCCACATCAAAGTTATATAAATCAGTGAACATGGGGCTTTAGACTTTTCTAAATTCCATTGTGACCCTTCAAGGATGCACAGTATAGAGACACAGATTTAGGAAGACAAAAGAAACAGACAAAAAAAACTTTCAGAGGAGCTTTCTAACTGCTCCATGAAAACTTTCTGTGATTAAATTTCTGCATCTTCTCTCTGTGTGTCCTCATCCAACTGCTTTTCTTTCTTTCTTCCATCTCTAGACGGTGAACTTGATGGTTGAACCATTCAACTATAACTGTTATATGTAGTATAGCATATTACCTATAATAAAATTACACATGACCAGCAGTAGCACCATATTAGTGTAACGGTCATGTAATGTGACTTTAGAGCAGTACTAAAGAAACCAAGAGGTGACGAGACCCGGTGTGTTTGCAAGACAGGAGACAATTTAGAACAAGAAAAGTGGGCTGATGAGGGAGGAAGGGATGTGACTCAGTTAAATCTTACAACGCACTGTAAGTGGTTGATTTGTTGCTGAAAGAGGCAGATTTGAGGAGACAGGTTCATATCAGTGATAAAAGCAGACATTACTCAGATTTTTTTTTTGTGTGGAATGAAGTGCGTGTTCACAGTGGGTGTGTTTAGGGGGCAAATAAGAGAAACAAACGTGTTAAATCAATTAGCTTATCTGTAAAGACCGTGTTTTGTTTGACCCTATGTCGCCACCCAGTGGGTAAATAAAATCATTGTTTACAATCTTGAGCTGCAAGAAATGATGTACATTGGATTACTATCTGGACATCTGTGCAATAACTAGCTACAGACTTGTTGGAATTCTCTAGCAGTCAGAGCCACGAAGTCCACCAGAAACCGTCTGTGACTTACATTTGGTTTGGATATCCTGTTTTTTTCTTCTTTCAAATTTTCTTCAGAACTTTGAACATTGTTATTTTGACTTAATTTTGCTTCTGTTACTACCAAACTGTTTTGCATAATTCAGACAATGCATTGTAAATGAAATTTAATATATTAATGCAAATAGTTTTAGTTTTACAATGTCAGGGTTTAAGACACATGTTCTGATTTTATGAGTAGAATAAATTAAGGGGCAATGCAGATGCTTGGGGTGCCTGTGGCTGCACTCAAAAAAGTGCTGGTTGTTTCTGTGAACCCATTGTTAGGTTCATAATTCTGGGTTGATTGGGGTACAATGAGCACACTTTTGGGTTGTCCATCCTGGGCCAAATGGGTTTTATGGGGTTTATTAGCTGGTTGGGTTACTTTGACCCAGCTGCTCCTAATTCTCCCACTCGACCACTGTCACACTGTCTGATTTCGTGCAACACATATTTTCACATTAACCGTTAACATTGTCGTGCACAAACTAAATGGGCACCGTTCATTGAACGTACCGATTTTTGGTGAACTGGACGTATGCGTTTGCAACCAATGAACATGAACGTCAGCATCGTTCACCCTGGCAACGGTTAACAATGCTCATGCACCAGCAACCTCAACCTCACCAGCGACGAATTTGAGATGACACATGCAATTGAAGCATCGGACCAGTCTCTTGAGGTATCTGCAAGTGACTGATGAAATCATTAAGAAAGGATAAGAGTAAGACCAATAGTCAACAGCCGCAAAGTTCCTCCATCTAAGTCGACCTCACATCATTTACACATTTTTCATTACACATTTTTAAAAAATACATTGGTTTTTCTTGTCTTTTAAAAGTTATCTCTATCCGTGACTCTGTGGTAGCATGCAGTAATCCATTATCTTGTGAAGTTATAAAGACCTCTGGCTGAGGATGGACGGGTAGTGTCCAAGCTGCTGCTGAAGTCTTGATTTTATAACGCAACATCGTCTGATAAAATCACCAAACACATAGGTTAAAGACAAAGACTGTGCTGTGTTTTCGGCTATATTTATTTTATAAATGATTGCTCAGAGAGAGGGTTAGAAGTGGCAGAATAGCTTTCTTATTTTGTGTCTCACACAGAGCACAACCTCTGTCTGGGATCCACAACAGTTTCCAACTACTGTTTTTCCTCAAAAAGTGACCACGGAGTTTATTAACCTCAACTGCAGAATGTGACAGGCCTTTATTTGAGGCAGTTTTGTATTAGAGACAGGTCTTTATTTTTTTAATGCTCTCTGTTTGTCATGTATAATTTGTCATACTGATATTTTAGGATTAAGCCTCCTTTTGAGTCCCTCCTCTGTTGTGTTTAAGTTACTGCATTCCATACACAAACTCAACAGTTCCTGTAATCATTTCAAATTAAAAGCCCTTAGCGTTTCAGTGGACAGAAACCCTTTATTTCTTAACAGGGTTATGGCTGCCTCATTATTGACTAAAATATTATACTTAGTCTCATGAAGTGGGGCAGTTAAACTTTCAAACATAATTAAAATGCTAATACTGTAATGGTGTATTTTTTTAATAACTGATGAAAATATGTAATTATATACAAATATTTATATATAAATATATATTGACTTACAGGAAATTACAAACATACTCAAGAGAAAGAGGAGAAAAGAGAAAAATAAAATATGAATTAAATCAGGGTAAAGGGAAGAGGGAAACCTATCCATTATCATCATGTTCACCTGAAGCAATGTCAGTTTCTGGCGATGACAGGATCAGCTATCAGTCTTGCAGGTGTTAAGAGCTTTTTATGTCTTGGAGTTTGTAATTGCAAAGATAAAATGATGTACTGTTCAAATAACAAATGCATCCAGTGCAGTTATGTAGTGGCATCCTCCAAGGTGACAAAAGTATCATAAATAAACTGTTTGACAGCAGCTGCACATTCATTAGAAAACTGTATATATTTATATTGTGAACAGATCCATCAAACCAGATCCAAAAGTTACTGCTCAGATACTGAAAGCCAACAAAGCTTTATTTATCTTTCAATTATTTGCATCTGATTTTATTGATGGTCTATTTGTAAATTTTTCAAGTCATGATGAGAATGGCTCCCAATGTGTAGAAATGATTTAATAGTGTATATGTTTTGGTGAGAGTTAAAAATATGTAAAAATCTCAAGTCAAGGGATTTTTTCAACCTGATGGATACCGATGTTTTAATTAAAATATTTTTACAGCTGAAAGACAACAGACTCTTCCTCTCTCTGATTGTAAGGTTATGTTCCATGTCCCAGATTAAATGAGAAAATAAAAAAAATGAAAAATAAAATCTTTCTGTTGTAGTTGTTTAAGTTGTGTAATGATTCTATTCTTGATCAGACCTACAGTTAACATGGATCCGGTCTATGGTGGATCAGGACACAAATAAAATCTAAACCTGGTGGTGATATTACAGCTGAGTTGAATCTGTTATTTGTCCTTGTATGAAACTGCAGTTACGTGTCAGATAAGTTCCATCAACTGCAGCATCCAATCCCAAACAGATTTCTAGTGAAAGTGCATGTTCGTCTGCTCAAGTCTAGACTGATAGGACCAAAAGGCCAAAGACTAAACTGTGTCACAAAGTAAAATATTGACTTGCTAAATATATTGTGATGGCAGCTAGAACAGTGGAAAAGCAGGTTTCAATAGGCTGATGAAAGTGTTTGACTGTGTGTAGCGTCTCTGAATAGAAACATTTTTCAAAAACATTGCTGCCTCAGCTTAATGCAGAATGCAGGGGAGATGTGGAAAAGCAGCTTTACACACTTTGTCACCACTGCTATCATGAGCCTAATAAAAGTGCATTCAGAAAAGATTCTTTTCACATTACCTCATAATGACAGAATTTTAGAATGTGAATTTGCAAATGTATTAAAAAGGAAAAACTGAAAACTGAAACTGGTATTGAGTGTTGATTAATGAGGGGTAAATGAATGTAAACAATTTTAGTTGCAATTCAACTGCCTTTGAAAAAGTGACTGTACTTTCTGAATGTACTGTCTAACTGATTTATCTGTCAGAAACCTGTAGCTGAAGTTGAAGTTGCTTTGTGTGCCCCCATCTCTGTTGCAGTTCCAAACTCATGTCATGTGTCTGGCATATCAGTCACTTTACCATGATAGAATTAAAAAAAAAAAAAGCTGAAATGTCTATCTGTCATGTTGTCTCACTTAGCAGAAAAGTCAGAAATACTGCTTCAGAAGTATCAAGTGTCATATATAGCATACTACTTAAATGTTAATGCAATTTTATCTATTATGCTATTATGTTTAGTTTCTGAAGGTGAGAGAGCTCTGAAGGTCCTGCCAACCCTCCTTCCCACAGAGGAGGAAAAGCCTTTAGATCCACCACTGAGGAGTCCTGGAGGTCATTAAATGACATGCAGCTTGTAAGTTTTGCTTCATTTTTTTTTTTTTTTTACTTCAGTAAGGGTGGATGTTTGTACTGCTTGATATGTTTTATAAGTATGAAGGTAATTTAGGGCCAGAATGTTTGAAAGTAAAAAAATAACAAACCTTGAATGTAAAACGAAACCCATAAATGATCAAATTCAAAGCACACTCTTCACTGGGGGCTGTAGATGTTTGTTTCAAGGCTTTCTTCGTGTTTGACATCAATTACACCGAGCAGTGCCTCCCCCCCTGGGTATTTTTCTAGCTTGCGGCGTATTGTTTATTATGTATATTTGTATTCATGCAAAATAGCTCATTGTATAGTATGTGTTTGCATGATTATTGTAAATTATGTGCACAACAATGATAATTGTTATAAAAATACCAG